TAATCTTTCAAACTGGAATCAAGACAAAGAAAGGAGATGTCCTGACAAATCATAAATGCCTACCTCTTTTTTGAACTGATTAAGAGCTTCGCTGTTATTCTGGAACTTCCTCAAATCTATACATTTTAGAGCAACACAACACATGGGATTTCGAGGATCCACCACCAATTTGACTTCACCGAATGCACCTAAATGTATATCACATGTACACCGGTGGAATAAGAAAAGCAGGCAAAGAAGTGGAGTACTGAAAATAATGGCGGTACTAGTCCGGGAAATTAGGAAAATAACCAAAAGTAGAAGATAAGTAAAAAAGAAGTAATGAATGAAAACATACGAACCTTCTCCTAAAATTTTTACAACCTGTGCTTTTCGAGTACCACTGCTTTGTTCCTTGACCTGCGCAGGATTGTTTGGCACAGGAACTCCAGCTGGCCCTACACATACCTTTGGCTCAGCTAACATCCTTAAAGAAAACGAAATATATCATGTAAAAAATACTAAATGCAAAGAAAGTAAGCAAAATACTATATGCAAAGAAAGTAGCAATATAGAGCAAAATGTCGATAATGATAGCGGTGGTACAACTACCTTCGCAATTAGCTCGCTTGACCAATGCCGGGTTCATACTTTGCAACTGAGGACACTCAGCGATTTGAGCTATTACGCGGCGTGGGAAAAATAGGTGTCGTTCTTTTGATCGGGGAGGCTGAGCGATCCGGGTCGGGATGGGAGACTCGGCGCTTTGGGCGCCTAAGGACTGAAAGGGTATCGACTGGCGCCGATCGCTAGCGACACTTGCGGACATTTGGCGATCCGAGGTCTCTCAGAACGCCGGATCTCCGATCTTCAAAAATAGCCGGATCGGTAAATCTCTGCGATCGCCAGATCGATACTTATACTCTCCTTGCCTTGCTCTTAAATCACCGGGTCTCCCAAACCGATGAGACTTCTTAGGCGCAAAGTATGAACGTAGCCTTAAATAAATATGCTGCCTATAAAGCGAGATTTTATGGCTGGAAACAGGTGAAAAAGTGACACAGACACAAGCAGCATTTTTTAATTGAACGCTGAAAGCATGACATGTAGAGGGCAGTAAACAAGTGAACCAGAAATAACACAGGAAGAGTCTAACAGCAAAGGTAAAGTGAAGAATGGAAAACATACAAGAGACCAGAAATCGCGCAAGCGATCTACACAGAAACATTTCCGCCCACAAACTTAATCCGATTTCTTCTTGCGGATTACTTAAAGCTTACTAGCTAGCTATTCGTCTTACCCAAATGTTCTACTCCATAGTTGCAGAAGGGTACCATGAAAAAAACGGCGCTGATGTAGTTGGGTGAGGGAGTGGACCACTCTTTGGCGCCCTTATCTCAGCTTATGAAAACACTGGTGAATCTGGTCGTCTGTGCTTTCGAGCCTGAGCCCTGGTTAGGGAAAAGAACATGGAGGCGCTAAAGAGTGATTCTTCAAATACATTAGCACAGAAAGAACTTGCCCTTTCCAGCATAGATGGTATTACAGGGTGGCGAAAAATTAAGTGCGCCATAAAAGAAATCGCTGCAATCCATTTTTTTTGCTCAGCCCTCTTGAGAAAAACTGTTCTTATGGAAGTGTGAATCAGTGAGTTTTACAATCATAGAGCATTTTCGAGGTTACTGTATCGGTTCTGATGCAGGCCACAGTTCGTTCATGTAGCCAGTAGTTCGGCGGAGGTAGTCAGGGTCTAAATTCGCCCATATTCTCAATGCGTGTTTCACAAAGTCATCAGAAATTTGAAATTTGGCTTTTATTTTATTACTCCCACACATGCGAGCCTGGAGGATTCAGATCCAGGCAGCTAGAGGATACTCCTTTGAAGAGGATGTAATTTCGGACAAAAGGAAATGAATCGCTGTTTTGACTTCACGGATTGAAGTCCATTGCTGCTGAAAGATGACATTAGGGAAAGCATGAGCACGTAATTTTCCGCCATCCTGTATATGTAGGGCCATTTTCGCACAGATTTCGAACAGATGCGAGTCTGTAGATGATGGTGAGAAGCACTCAATGTTCAGAGCGAAGACCAGACAAATTTTTCGCCACCCGCTATGTGTAAGCAAAGAGCCACGTTTCTGACCCACATTTCGCGAAATGAGGAAATCTCCGAAAAGCAAACAGACTCATTGATTCGGGAAACTGCAGAGCAGGAATGGTAGCAAACCCTGACAAGAAATGAAAATGAACAGTGAGAAATTCAGTATTAATTCAATAATGATTCTGGGATATTCCAATCTAGGGTATATTCCAGAGTATATCCAGGGTATATAGGGTAGAAGATATTCCAAAAAGAGTTCTTGAGCATCCAATTTTCTTCGCAATAGTCTGGATAAGATCGGGCAGGATGATGCGTTGCGACACTCTACTGGGTTTTCTCTGCAGTTGAAAACTCCAAGATAATCAAAACCAGCTCCTGCACCAGATGAATAACGTGTTCTACTGCGAAGCCGAAAAAAAGGAACAAATTGAAACGAAACGAATCCAAGAGGGTCACGTTTGCTAATCAGTCAAATCACGATCATTTCAGTGCTTAGAATCGATTTTATAGAAGTACGAAGTGTACGATACTGGAGAACATGTATAAATGGAACAGCATGTGACTTCCCCACTGTTCCTTCTTCCCCAAACCTTCCCTGGGGATTAATTGCCAGTGGGGATGAGAACAAAACCAAGAAACAAATGTTAAAAGCAATTTAAAGCATGACATACAAAAACTGAACGCGAATTGAAGCCCTGAGCGGGTTCCGAACAACGCCTTTACAACAAAAGAACCACTATTACCGCTCTGATATATGCTATCAATGAAGCGGGAAAATCTCGCTGCAAACAGATAAAAAACCAAAAACGTACTCCGTCAGCCCTTATCAGTTCCTGACTGTTCGGGGGTGGCAGTAGTCGTAAACACACACTAACCACCACGGGTTTGAACTTTGGCGCGGGGAAAATTTATTCAAATTTGGTCTGCAATTCAAGACGTTGTGCATGGGATTACACGCAATATTGCACATCGTGCTCACGACGTTTCACATTTTGTTTTGATAGTTTTGCTTTTACTGCATTTTTCAAGAAAAAGCTCACCTAGCTTTGCTTGAAAGTACTCAAAGAGATAACAATTTTCTTCAGGGAGGGTGTCTCGAGGTAGTTATTTCGTTCTCAGACGGTTGCTGACTCGGCTTTAAGCGGTCTGCTCTACCATTAACCAGCAGTGGAGGTATTCTTCACTATTTGTTTTGTTTTGCTGTTTTTTATTGGATTGTTCGCAAATTTCTGGACTGCCCGAGGTCGATATTTATGAGAAACAGTATGAAGGTTGTTCATATTACAATAATAAACATCTGTAGATTGAAGTGTCACATTTGAGCTCAAATTCTCATTCTGTCCTAGTTCTTAACATACGACGAGTGTTATTCGGGAAAGGGGAACTTAATGAAGACTCGAAGCCTTCTTTTAAGGCTGAAGGTGGAGGTAGCTGAGAGATTAGAAGACGTATGACAGGGTCTTCTCACTGCCATAACTTGATCGATATTTTTAATGGTGTGCGGCACTGCCTGGGGATTACCTAGGCGCTCCTCGGATTTGTTATTGCTTTCTAATTTCTTGAGTGTTTCTCACAAAGAAAGAAGAAAAGATTGTGCGGCAGGGCATGCCTTTCATTCGGCAAGAATTTTAGCAACGACCCCCCCCAAAGGAATGTACTTATTTTGATTCTTTATTTCCATTTACTGAGTTTGTGTTGTTTCAGCAGCATTCACGAATGTACACGATTGAGAAGCTCCTTCCTCTTTAGTACAGGTTCGTACTTCAGTATATTTTTTGAGTTTCCAGCAGCCTTAACACGGATGTAACGCTAGCTTAACATGAGAACTTGGCACGTGCGGCACTCGGCTATGCCAAAACCACCTGTTGCGCCAGTGGCGGAGACGGACTTCTGCTTAAAACCCATGTAATATTCGTATTCAGAGATCAAACTACCTTGCAGGCAGAGTTTTGAATCTACCGCAGAAGAGAGTTTTTGATCAAAATCTGTCCTAAATTTCAAAGAGTGGGACAGTAAGGGATAAAGGGGCATAATGTTGCCCACTATTCAGTGGAAGAACGTGCAGTTGATATCGTGGCAATCCGGGGAGCGGTGTCAGGAAATGAGCCCACCCCAGCGTTTTACGCCACTGCTTGTTTTTCGCCTGAACCGCTCGCTACTAGTAAAAAAATGGCCCAATCCACGCCTCCCACGGTACTGCGGAGATGTCAGCTATACGTGTTTTTTTTGTACATCTTATGCTATTCTTACTCTTTCGGCACAGGTCGGCTTTGTTGAATTTTACTGGTCCCCATCGGTCACTGCCGATGCCTCCTGTTGGAACCCGTAAATTCTAGCAAAGCTATGCAATAGCCTGGGATTCACAGCTTCACAAGAGTCTGCAAGCAGGGC